GCCTCCGGTTGCAGTACGGACCGTCAGGTTGTGGTATAGGGCTTCTGGTTGTAGTAGGGACTAGTCGCGGTGGGAGGGTGCGAGGGGGGGGCGGGGGGTTGGGGAGGGGGCTGAGGGGGGGGCTCCACATGGTGCTTGATGTGCTTCTGAACTGTCGTCATTGCCATCTGTAAGCTTTGGGCGAGATTGCTGTGATCCCTGGCCTGACACGTATGTGTGATCTAGCAGATGTGTTTGGCACGTCAATTGCAAGCAAAAATCTCCAGATAATGGCGGTGGTTGTCCTCAAAGAAGCTCGAGGGGTCCTGAGAAACTCTTTGACACTCACACAGCTATCCTGCAAAAGGAACAGCACTCCTCTGTCGGTACCACCAGCACCTCTGGCAAGGGAGCCTGGCAACGACATGCAAGGCCCCTTACTTTTTGTTTTTCACATGCTTTGTGAAAATTTCGCATGAGCCAGCAAAGTTCACCTTTGAAGAGATGGAGAACACACGCAGAAAAGAAAACAAAACTCTACAGGCCCGGAGAGCACGAGGGGCGGGCGAGACCGGACCGAGATGGCAAGACAGCCGCACCAGATGCGAAGGAAGAAGTGAATTTCAAAGTAGCTGCATAGTGTTGCACATGACGACATGAAAATCTCGCGACTAATGGCATCAGGCATTCCAGAAATTGTTTTGCCATGGACATGCCCTGAGAAACACTGTCACATTGCAAGGTGTGTTCAGGTGCATCCTTAAGCAAAGATGTAGAACAGGTCATGCTCCTGCTAGCCGCAACGTGAAAGTCATGAAGGGTGTAAGTGGTTCACGTGTGTGAACAGCAAATGCCGAGGGAATTTTGAGCGTGGAATCTTTCAGAATAGCTTCGAACGATTTTTGTTCTGGGAAATCCGGCAAAGCTGAACAGGTTACCATGCCATGGATACCATCGTCTGAGCACACGCAGTGAACAGATTTCTTCTGGGATCGCAGCCGGAACCGCACTTGCAAAACACCATTGTTTTTTGTGTTGCCTTGTCACACTTGCTTTACTTCCCTCCGAGCTCATGAAGCATTTCATCTCTTAGGAAGTTTGAAGGACTTACTTCGTTCAGAAAACTATCAGGACATACAATACGGGCTGCCTGAACTTGACCTTTCGATATTTCAAGTGTCCATTCATCCTTCTCTTGCTAGCATCTGCGTCTTGCTAACCATGCATTTTCAGTGCGGTACCACATTGTACAGCAAAGCAGAAAAGTTCTACTGAAATGACAATGGCCAGTGCTCGTTTCATTGTCTGGCAGCCCAGGTACACTCCCAATGTCAAGGCTGCAGTTGCCCTGTTGTGCGAGACATGTGAGACCAGGAACCCTTACGAGGAACAAACAACATAGAACGAGAATGTGTGCAGAACCACGGACAGCAACATAAGCCAAAACAAAAAAGGATAAAAAAGGCTTCCGCGGCCTCAGCATCAACCTCATCTCCACTCTTCGACCTGGCAATGCATCATAGGTTCGTGATGTGTAAAGGCTCCGCAAGGATTCCGCAAGGGTCGCGTAGAGACCGAGGACCAGAAGGTGGCGATCTGATGATTCCAACGAAGGCCGCCGCGATGAGGAACAACCCTAGCGAGGGTCACGAAACACCCTCCATCCTCACCCTCCTCAACTCATTCTGTGAGGGCTTCGCTTGGGCCTAGGGCTCATGTTGGTGTAGGCCGGGTTCAACAGGGGCTCGATGCGATACCTAGCCGCGCATCACCAGAAATGTCCTACTACTGCACATGCTTGCCCCAGAGGTGCGCGATGGGGTCATCAGGATGGAAGACATTGAAGAACCTGCAGCATGACACCACAAACTGAGGGATTGTCAAAATCTCCAGTAGCCTCCACCCTTGTCCAGCGCTGGCGGGGGGCCATCTCACGTCAAGACCTCGAAAATACCTCTCGCTGGTATGACAAAGGCCTCCCATGACCCCGAACCCTCACCACAGACTTTGTAAAGCATCCCACCTGGATGCTCGCTGCGCCTTTTGTGAGAGCCGTATGCTCAGGAACCTCTTCAAATGAGTGCAAAGAGTTGCGCAAATGTTCAAACTCAAAACCTCTCGTGACAAAACCTGAGCGCAGCACATTCCAAGTGGCGAACCCACAGCAAAAAGGCATCTGGGCAGCGGGTGTTCGTGTGCGCCTTCCTTGCCTTGCCAAGATCAGAGAGCTCGGACTTTTTGGGAGCATACCTCAAGCATCCTCAAGGCTTCCAGCCCTTGGCAAGCGCCACAACATTGCCGCGGGCCATGTGCTCCTGCAGCACGTTGGCATCACACAAGAATGTCTAGTCTTGGTCGGGAAACTTGTGACTGCACCTGGCGGGTGAGTGATACGCTGACATTTATGGTGACAAGAGAATGCTCCCTTGCCTTCAGCAGCTTGACGCCCTTCTTGTCAAAACTGCCGGGCGTGCCAACGGTTGCTTTCGCTGGAGTGCACAGCATGGTCTTGGAGGATCCTTGCGGCATGTCCTGTGACCCAAGCAACACGCAGCAAAGTAGAAGATCTGGCACTTCGTTACTGGCTTTGCCAGGCCTTCGACGGCGAAGAGTGCAAACCGTGTGGAAACTTCTCCAGCCCCTGCTTCAGGGCTTCGGAAACACTGAACGCCAGTAGCACCAAGCAAAGGCCAGATTGAATACTCACAGTCCATCGTCCAGGCTACAGGCTTCAACACCTCGTCTGGGGCATTTGGGCTTAATGACACCTTCTGACAGAGTCTAGGTTGCATTGTCTCAAGCTTGATGAACCAGACATTCTTGGGGGGTGATCGCCGCAGATGCTGCAGGTTGCCTTGGCTGACCGACAGGTGGTAAGGCTTCCCGTCTTGGTTCAAGGCCACGTCTGTGAATTTAGCTCGGATTTGTGCTGGGGGAGACCTGGGGAGTGCTGGCTTCAAAGACCCCTACCGGAGAGGTTCCAAATGCCTCTAGGATGAACCGCAGCAGGCTGTGAAGTTGGCAGCAGCGAAGGAAACTCAAGCCTTCTGGATGAGGTCAAACATGATGACCGAGCCCAAGGAATGCCCGATCACGGCAACCTGCAAACAGAACCCTGAGCTGTTCAAAACAACATAATGCAGCATTTGCAGTCGACTGCAGATGTCAAGATTGCGCAAAAATGAAGATATGAAAGCAAAGAGTATTTGAAGTACCAGAGAGACTACCATCAGTAGTTGCAACAATGTCTTAATGACTTACGCTAAACTCCAATCATCTCTCGTGTATCCCTCGTGCACCACGCATGAAACCTTGTGATATGTCATAATCCTTTCTCAGTGTCTCACTGTCTCACCGTCGCCAAGTTAGGAGCTGAGCGCGCAGGACGTGACTCAATGTGTTTAGTAGATTCTTTAGGAGAAAAGACTTGGGCAACTTGGGAGCAAGGCCCCTGCATTCGCATATTCCATGGTATGCTTTTGTCCTTGAGCAAAGCTGCCAGCCAAATGCAAAAGGAAGATTTGATTTAACAATAAAAGCTCTGATCCAGAGATCTGTAGGCCAACATGGCTTCGCAAAGACTTGTGAAGCGGCCGTTTGCTGAGTTATCTCAGGCTGTGTTTGCCGCAAAGAATGGTCCACGCTGTGAACACATGTGCCCCGGCAAGTTTGCCTCTCCGGAATAGCTTGGAGTACGTGCAGAGAAGAGCTGCCACAGCTGGCCCTCAGTTCGTTTTAAACAGTCCTTTCGTACGGTATCATATTACGGCTCAGCTCAAGAGAATTCCAAAGCCCAAGGGTCCTGCCATCTTCTTCAAGAGCTCCTCATGGATGCGCTCACGCCACTGATCATCCTTCAGGTGTGATACGGGACAAGTTCCGTGAATTTAGGTCTGCCAGGACATGCTTGGGTCCAGGTATACCATGACATCTGCCAGGGCAAAGTTTGCGAAGTCACGTAGGTGGCTGACCTCAACATGGAAACCAATGGAAATGTGTGTTGACATACAGGCAAACCTGCGACAGCTCATGCAAGCGCAAAGCACGGGTTGCCCGCAGGGCTGCATGCAAGACTTGTGCTCCGGTTACTGCTCTTCACACTTCCTTCTCTAGGTGCTCAAACAAGCATTCAGCAGATGATCACGATGCGTTTGCTGGGTCAGTGCCAAGACCCATCCAGCACCTTTCCAAAACAAGGATGCTATCTTTTTGCCGTGTATTGCAGAGTGGCAGTCGCTGGCCCTTTACCCTCCAATCAACCTCCGTCAGCGGCCTGCAGTTGGTGGATATCAAGTGGCTAACATGCTCCTCCCAGACAGCTAGCCAAAACGATGGAAAAAACAGACCAGCTTAGCTGCATGAGTCTTCATATGATCCACATCTCTGCGGAGCACCAGCATGGCCAACTGCTGATTATAGGTTTCGTGGCCGTAGCATGTGCCGTGATGAGCAGTCTGAAGACACAAGGAGAGCTGAGCGGAATGGCCAACGTATTATATCCACAGACAAAGAGCCTTCACACTGCAAAGCTCTGAGCCTGGCACTGACTTCAGCGTGACGTTCTTCAATCTGTTGCCTTGGGGCAATCCAGCATTTACACCGATGACGAAACGAGGCTTGGAAAAGTGCAGCTACCCTGCCTATGCCAACCTCAACATGTATTGGACCATACCTTGCAGAGCAGAATTGCAACGAAATGCTGCTTGCCAGAGTGGTTCCCATGCAGCTTTGCTCCAAGACACCACTCCAACGGAAGAAACTCTATGCGTCCTTGCTGTGCCTCGACAAAGGAAGCTCAAACAAATTTACCCCAGCACTGCAGACCATATGCGCCACCAATTTTCTCGGATGTTGCTTGCCACAATTTGGTTGTTAGAAATCTGCCGAGGCCGGAGGCCTGGGGCATCAAGATCCGCAACCCGGAGAGCAGCATTACATCAATATCAGAAGCGACCCATGCTCCGGTAGCATTCGTCCAACTGAAATTCTTTCTGCTATTGGCGCCAGTTACACCACCCTTTTGCAACCTCCACCCGTAAAGTCCGTGTGCCCATAAGGTTGCCCGTGAAGTTTGCCCGAAATGCTGCCCGCACCATGAATGCGCCCGTGAAGCTGTCCTTTAACGCCATTACAGTTGCAACTGAGGCATCAAAGGACACAATACCTCAGCACCTCCAGGTAAGTTTGATCCTTTTGGAATTTAGGGCACCACTTTAAGGGCACCGTCTTATGCCGTTAAAGGCGCCGTCTACCGCAGGCCCTACTTGCAGGCGGCGTAGCAAGCTTTCTGAAGAGTCAACATTTGCCTGCCATCACCGGATAGCAGGAGCTGGAAAGACGGCTAGAAAGCAAGCACAAATCGAAACAAAATCAGCCTTTTGCTCCAGGATTGAGATTCTGGATAAATTTGCAGCAGGTAGTAATAAAAAAGAAGCTGCTGCACCTGCTGCGTGTTCTGAACGAAAAATCCTTTTCGAATGGGATCTCGTTAAAAAAGCTGGAAAACAAAAACATGCCAAAATCAAGATCGGAAGACAAAAACAAGAAGTATCAAGGGCTCTGCAACCTTGCCGGCCTGCTCTTTGGCTCGGTTAATCTGGTACTTGGCAGCCAGCTTGCGGACTTTCGCCACTTCCTGCGGCCATGCAAGTTGGCAAAACCCCGATTACAATCGTAGGATTACGTGGGTTGGCTGGCCTTGAAGAACTGGTTGGCGCCTTGCTGCGCGCGATGGTACTGTCCTATGCCGTGTACCACGAAGGTCAGGCACCTGAAACGTTGCAAGGCAGCCAGCTCATGGCAGGTCAAGCTCTGAAGGCCGAACTCAACATGCTCCGGCAAATTCTCCTCCTCATCCTCACAGAACTCTCACAGATCACTGGCTGGCGGGGGCTTATGATCGAAACTAGTCTGACGTCCTCCAGTCGCGGGTCTTCTGCAACAGCCTGATACCTGAACATAGCACTGGGAGAAAAGCTCATGTACCGAAGATCGTGTAGTTGGGTCGAGATACCCACGCCAAACTTGCACAGCATCCTTTTGAGACCCACTTCTCTCAACAGCTTCCTGAACTGCAGTGAATTGCAGCTCGTCGCCTGCAAGAAAAATGTGCGTAAACATTGCCGGCACGCAGTGTCAAAGACTTTGCCGGTCGCAGCCTGGCTGAGATGCTTCCACTGGATAGAAGTAGCCTTCCTTGCCATCAAGGATCGCGAGACTGAAGCCAAGGAGGCGGAGACCGAATGCCCAAATTCTCTGATTAAGCCTCCCACTACAGACTGGCGCTTAGCTGCGTTTCCAAACAGCATGGAGGACAGAGCACCTTGCGGCTGCTTGACCAGCGGCTCCCAAACTCTGAACTCTAAGGTTTGCTCCTGAATCTTCCTCTGCCGAATGCTCTGGCAGCAAAGCCTGCAGAATCAGCTTTCAAAGCTCTGGCAGCTTGCCTCTATTCATTTGGAATCTTGCTTTCACCCAAACCTCGAAGCGGACATCATCCTTGCCCCTGACAATGCGTGCGCTGCGTACACGACCCAAAAGGCAAGGAGAGCGATAAGCCTGTTGACGGGAACGAGCAGAGGCGCTCTTTCCTGCCACAGACGCATCAGACGCACCCAAGTTGTTTCACTTGTTCAAGGATTGCTTTCTCCGCTTGGCCTTGCCGGTCCGCAAGCGCTGGAAAGCTTCCTCCAACCCCTGCAATCTAACCGCCCATCACTTTTTGTCTGCAAAGCACAAGTTTCACAACAGTGACCTCACCGTCCTCTTCTTCATATGGACTCCAGGCACCTTTTCTACCTCATTGGACGCAATTTGCAGCCTCTTCACCTAGACACAATTAGTATCCATCTGTGCGCCTCTGAACCAGGAGCTGCGTATGACACGGCGGTCTGGCTCATCCCAATATACCGCCCTTCCGCAAAGGCTGTTCAGGCTACATGTTTGATATGTTTGACAGGCAAGGTGTTGCATCCAATGCTTGCCTCAAAAGTCGCCTGTCCACCTCGACGTCATACCTGCCTAAGCCACATGACAATCTATGGGCAAGCTACTATGGATCTGAGGCCACGGCCATGGTCAACAGCTACTGTTGCCGGCAAATCCTGACAGTATCTGAAAGGATTGAATGTAATCTGAAAGCTTGCGAAAGGCTTGCCTGGCCAGTCCGGCTTCGGGCCAAGATATCTTCAAGCCTCGCAGAATCCGAGGGATGAAGCGGCACCCACCTGCTGGTGACAATGCCATTGAATGGCATGCCCCATCATGTCACTCATATCTGGGCTCACATGGCTCACCCAGCTTGCCTGCGGTCTGCTGAAGGAAGGTCCGCACCCTCCTTCAATGTGTGCCGCAATGGTACATGTCACCACACACGCACTAATACATGTTTTGAAAACCTGTGTGGACAAGACTCTGTCTGACATGTTCACGCTATGATTGACGACGCAAACCTGCACAGTCCAACAAGCCTGAACCCAGCATTCGTGGCAGTGTGGCTTGACGAGCTGAACTTGAGTATGGCAAACAATCTCTACACATGTTTTTGCTAATATCTTGTTTGGGCGGCCCTATGTAATTCCAGTCAGCTGGTCAGAATCTCAAAACAAAAGTGGAAGTCCATCTAGTGGGTTGTTTCCACGAGGATGTTGCGCGCTGGATTACCTTGCTCCAAAAACGGCAGGTCGATAGCTAGCCGATTAAAGTCCAAATTTGTATAGTGACGGGATTTTGGGGACGTGGTTTCCTTCTTTCATTGAGCCAATGCCATCAGCTCACTGTCTAGCCGGTGGAATTTTTGCTTTCCTATGGATCCCCCTGTAAACAGAAAACGTCTTGTGAAAACATTCAATTACGTACACGCATCATATATTGACGGCTGGATTTTCCCTTTTCTTGGCTTTTGATTCGGCAGGCTTGAACATTCTGGAATGGTGGTCTGATTCCTGCATCGCTCGAGCTTAATGTGATGGCCTCGGGCAAAAATATATGCATTGCAGGACGATACTACAACTCAAGGTGCTTTGAATCCCGTAGGTTCGGGGATTATTCTGATTAGATGTTATTAGGCAACAGGGTTTGGGGTTCAGTGTTCGCGCGGAACGATTTTGATCCCGTGCTGTAACCTGGCAAGTTTGTGGGTTTAGGGCATAAGGTTGAAGGACAAACCCACGAAAAGGACTCCCACTGACTGGGTCCATCGGTCCAAGAAATGCTCATGACCAAAATAGATACGGGGCGCAGGGAGGGAAAGGTGCTGAGAGTAGACATCAAGCGCTGGCTCCCGCAGGGGATGCCCAACTTTCGCGCCCTAAGGAGACGAACGCCCAGGCTGACAGCTATCTTCTCGGAGCCCGCCGAACAAGACTCGCGCCACCCACGCCTGTCACGCACACCGTCCAGCATGGCAAAGCGGGGCAAAGGCAACGTTGCACGACCTGACTGACTGGACAGCCAAGGCTGCAACAGCAGCGGCAAAAGCTGGGGTATACTCCGCCTCTTCTCTTGTGGCATCGGCCCTGATGCCACTCATCCTATCGGTGGAAATGTCCACAGGAAAGATCAGGCGGAACTGAGGCATGCGTGCATGAGCCTCTGATGCTGGGCCCTCCCCGAGTAGAAACCTCTGAGGCTGCGTCGTCACGCTGACTCGGGCAGCCTGGGCAGTTGAAGGGCCAAAGGGCCACTGGGAGCAGCGACAAGGCGAAGAGGTGGAGGGCCGGGTATGATCACGCGCTTTGCTTTCGGCGATCACTCGACGGCGCAAAGCACAAAGTCCAGGTGCGGACGAAATGTGCTTTTCGTGCACGCTGATCCGTTCCAGAACAGCTCTGAAGTCACGAAATTGCCGGAGCGCCTGTTTCTAAGGGCCATTAAGCTCTCAGGCTCTCAGCTTTTGCCGCCCCGTCACTCCTACGGCACTATTTGCTCGCGCGGTGCGCCCAGGCTTAACCAAACTGGCCGCCACACAAAGTTCGCTTGAGGCCGTCGGCGCCTCTGATTGCCCTCCCCTGCCCTCGCCAAGTACGTAGCGCTCAACGGCCGTAGGCTGCGCCGTGGCTAGCGCTGCGCTGAAACCTGACAGGTCGCAGCACGCAAGGCTCGAGGCTTACAGTGCCACCGCAGGACAAGCTAGAAGCTCTGCACAACTTGCCACAAGCAGCTCCACTGCAGGCACGCGCATCGCCTACGCTGTCGACCCCGCACCTAGCAACAACCCTGGTGCAGGGAACCCCTTTTCCTGCTTGCTAGGAGTTGTTACGCTTCAAGCACGCATGGTGGAGATATGGGGCAGGCCAGTGGGATCACAACAGGCAAATCCACTGGCACTGCTGCGGAGCAGAACGCGCGGAGGGTGACGCCGGAGGCGGATCCACGTAGCTCGCAGATGATGATCACATTTGGCGCCGGCCCGCATCCGTTTGGCATGCTTGCGTCCTCTGGGGACGGCAAAGCAGCCCATGTAGCGGCCAGTTGCGGTCACGGTGGTTGGCAGCTGCGCCAGAGTCAGCTCGGGCCAAGAGCGCGGCAGGAGCGGACAACCCACTGTATGGGGGGGCTTCATAGGCATCACAGGCGCTTGAGTCACAATCACGCCTGACGTTCAGCAAGCCGAGACTGGCCAAAGAGGCTCCCCGCAGCAAGGCCACTGCCAGGTGTGGGGTCTGTGGCGCAGTCGAGCAGCATGTGGTAGGTTACTACCGGGCCTTCAGCTCGTCCAGCTGTGGGCACTGAATGTACAGCAAGGGGTCGTGTGTACTTTAATAATAATGCTTCCAAGCAGCGCCACGCATCACACACACAAAATACTTCCTGGGCTGACTGAACTGCCGGCCACCAACAGCTAAAGCCGTGGCTGGGCAGGATCCCTACAGCCTACCCGAGTTGTGCTTTGCGTGGCACACAACACCAAAATCACTTGCGCGATTCAACCATTGCAAGCGCCTCCAAACAGACTCTGGGGTGCACTTGTTGCCCATGTTCTGCAAGGCCGACAAGCTGACAGGCCTTGAACACCGCGGCAGGGTCAGGCCGTCCTGCAAGCCCCATGATCGGAGCAGCTCCGTTACCAGCCGCCAGCATGGCGACTTTGGAGCCTCTGTGGCCGCCTACCACAGGCGAGGCCACCGCATTGGAGGCATATTTGGCGGATACGGGCATGATCCCCACCGCCAACATTTTGCGCGGCGATGGCTTGACCTCTTCGTTTTATCGTTATAGTTGCCGCGGGCGACCCTATGTTGCCCTCCACCACCTCGGCTGGATCGGCGACTTTGCCTACACCGTCGGCTACTACCTTGGCTGAGGCGGAGGCCTCCATGCTGCCGGAGTCAGGCGGCGTGTCAGTGAAAACACACGCCTTCTTCAAGCACTCGAGGTCACGCCTATTGAGTTGGCCAAAGGCCACTCGACAAGCATCATTGCCCCGGGCCGCCAGACGGCGGAGGGCGGGATCAAAGGGTAGCGGAGCTGAAAACTGAAGATATCTCTGCAACACTTTGGAACACTGCTTGGCTTGAGCAAGACAAGTATCAGCACCGTCAACACGCACGCCGGACAATTTTCCTGTGGACATGCGCGAGCTTGCGTTAGCCGCCATTTCAACATGAAACTGTTGAAGTGGCGCCTCACTGGAGCTCCAAAGCGGAAACAAGACAAGGGGTGTCGCTGTTGGGATTAGGTATCGCTTCTTCAGGAATCTTCAGAGAATCTGCTTAGATTTTACGCTGGGGTATCGCCAACTCATGTGTGCTGCAAAACATCTTGGGAGGTATCGCTTTTGGGGTTGGCATCGCTTCCTCAGCTCATTGCACTCATTTCCT